CTAATGAATTAGACTACGAAAGTTTTGTAATTAATTACATTAATTTGTAGTGATTTACGTTAAATTTGTATTTGATTACGTAAATATTGTAGTGGATTTACACTCATTCATGGTGATTTCAATAAATTAATAGTGGATTTCGATTAGAGTGGATTTCGATAAGTGTACATTGAATTTCAATAAGTTAGTAGTAGATTTTGTTAATAGTGGATTTTAATTTAATGATTGTTGGTCATTGGAATTTGTAATTAAATGGAGTGGTTTTCATGTTTACGTAGTTGTTATACAGAGTGGTTTTCATGTGTGACATAGTTGTTATACAGAGTAGTTTTCGTGTTTATATAACTGTTTATACAGAGTGGTTTTTATGTTGACATAGTTGTTATAGAGAGTGGTTTTCAAGTTTACATAGTTGTTATACAAAGTGGTTTTCATGTTACATGGTTGTTATATAAAGTGGTTTTCATGTTTATATAGTTGTTTATATAGAGTGGTTTTCGTGTTTATATAGAGTGGTTTATATTTAAAAACACACTCAAAAGAAAATAAAAACACCATTTTTAAAAAAAATAGAAATTAAGAAAAAAAAACCAAGAAAACCCAAAAATAAAAATAAAACCATTTTTTTTTAAATTAAAATAAAAAAAATGAAAATATATAAATAAGAGAAACTATAATTTAAAATAAAAAACTGAAAAAAAAATTAATTGCAAAATTTTCTTTTAAATCGAAATAAAGAAAACCATTAAACAAAATAAAAAAAAAAAAAGAAAAGGAAAAAAAAAACTGAATTGTCGTGATGAGGGGAATAATTTTTGGAGAAGATTTGAGTGTAGATTATGGGTATAAATTTATTTAAATTAAATAATTATACTAATTAATAATTAGTGGGGGCATATATGGTTTTTCATTCCCATTAAATTTATCTCAAATATCATTTATAAATAAATGATTTATCAAGAATTAAAATCCCAATGAAGGGTGTTTGGCATATAACCCCTATATATATGTAGACACACATGTGTCTTGTGTAAATGTATATGACTTATATATCATATATATATGTGGGATTATTTCACAAAAGTCCCCCATTAGACAAGTCGAGTTACATTAGGTCCAAACAAAATTCTCAATTTTAAGATAAATTCAAAGTGTCTTTTATTAATTAAAAAAAGTTGAGTTTCACCATTATACCCTTTAATTATTTATTCAACCTTAATTTTATTGCGTACAATAATTACCCCCTCTTACTCAAAAATAAAAAATAAAAATCACAACCTCTTATTCGCCACCTCCCCGTGTTAGAGTAGGTGAACAACTATCCAACTTGTGGTTGTGGTCTTTCCATTAGTTCTTGTCATAAATAATTCTTTTTTGTATTAACGATAAAGCACATTGGCATTCTATATCTTTGTCCCTTTGTCTCAAACATAGATATAGTCATTACAGTTATTACAAGTACTAGTAATTGATCTTTTAGGATCGTGAGATATTTACTTTAGTATTATAACTGTTAAACATGTTCCTAGTCGAAGGGTTACGCCACCAATGAGGATATCGGCATTTCCCATTAAGAGACCAGCACTTAGTGTATGTGTACTGCATCTCATCAGTAAACGGTATTGTGATATCGGCATGCATAAGTGGGTTTTCGTAAGTTGACGAGTTCACTGAACTCCCTCACCCTAGAAATCTCTAAGTGGTTCTCAATAATCGAGTAGAGATATCTATGGTATAGTTGTTTACCATTAGTCCTTATGACCTAGACATTACCGTGACTTCACTAGAGGACCAGCTGTATCGTGATCTGTCCCTGAGTTCCCCCGAGGAATGCCCCAAGGGCCAGTGTTCGTGCAGTTCGAAATCTAGTGGGAGGTATGTGCATTGTAATCGGGGATTCAATCGCTAGAATAGCCTTGGATGTCCTGTGTGCTCTTATAGTTTGTAATCTCTAAGTCTCTGACCAGAGCTGAGTAAGTGATGATTAGAGAATTCGATTCTCCAAGTCATGCACGTACCGATTAAAACACTTAGAACAATCGCACAGTTATTGAACTACTAAGGAAGTCTCGATGAACCAATGCCTCTAGTTCAACCGGGACATATACGAAGACATTAAAATGATTCCGAAAATGTAATCGTTACAATTTTCCAATCACTGAGTTGTGAGAAACGAGCGAGTAAAGAACTAACGAACTTAAGTCGTTGGGTCCGGTCCAACTTAAGCCCATTGGGGCTTTTATACAAGACACTATAAATATATGATGTATAGGTCTTACACAAAACCACAACACATTACACAAAACCCTAGCCGCTCGAATCTCACACCCACGGCCACTCTCACCCACGGTCGTCGCCACCGCCGTTGTTCGTCGCCGGAATCGGCCCCACGCGCCGATCGGTTTTGGTAGTTTTCTTTCCTTTCGTCTTTTCTTCCGTCTATTCTAACTTTTGCATGTCTAATTCCACGTATGTAGTAGATCTAAGTATACGAGGTGAAATCCGAGAGGAGGAAGATCAAGGAGTCGAATTACCAAGAAGCCGCTGCCGAGCCGCACGCGCCTCCACGCGCCGCCCGAAGCCAGCGCGTGGATCTCTCGCGCCGTCGTCGTTGATCGCGTCCGTCGCCACCGCACCGCCGCTGCTCCTCCTGACTGCACGGATTGGTTTCCCTGGCAGTTTGCTTTGATCCGATAGTTCGCCTCACGCTTCAAGAGGTAATTTTTCGGATCCGTCAGTTAATACGTTTTATTTAATTAGATTAAATTATGTGCTATATGATTTTCATGAAATTGATATGTATGTTTTACTTGATCTTTTTTCATGAAATTATATGCATGTTTATTACGTTTTCGTTGCGAGCGTGCTATGTGTTTTAATTATCGAATTAAATATGCATGATGTATTTTATTTTTCTCTGGACGCGTTAAGGTACATAATTAATTGCTTAATACGAATCGAGCATGTGATTATATGATTTAAATTGTTTATTTCATGTAAAGAAATTATTTTCCGTTGCGTACACATGTTCGATTCCCAACATTAATTACTATTTTATCAATTTTACCCTTATTATTATTCATTAATTGACTGAGAAATGGAAAAACATTAATAACATGGATATTTTAGTCATTCTATATACTTTTCTCTAAAATTGACGCAAGTTTATCAGTTTTCTTAATATGTGCGTAACAACCCAAAGAGACACATATTTTGGCACGGAGGGAGTATTTATTTACTACAATCTATGCATAATCTATGTTAATGTGTCTTCGTGATCTATATTTGTGATGTTTATACGAAGATTAAATTAGGTGGTTGAATCAGGGTCATTTAATTTCTAAATTATGCACAACATGTGTTTTTTTTATTAAAATGAAAGATTAATGGAGTACTCCGGTTATAAACAACTCAGATACAGTATGTTGGTATCCAACTATGATAGAAAGGGTGATTTAATGCTACCAAGAAACAGGCTCGTAACAGGTTAATTGTCTATGTACAAAAATTAATCTTTCACGAATTTGATAAAGCAAAAATGGATGTTTACACGATTTTCATTCAAGGGCATTTTGGCCATTTTTCATAATGATGTGTTTTCGTGGATTATGTGATTATTCGACTATGAAATTGTGTTCGGATGGTGAACTAAGGTGATTGAGATGATATATATATATATATATTATATAATATACTTTTAAAGTTAGATAGTTATTCGGATTTCTTATTGAGATTTATAGCTCATACAGATTACTTTTGATTGCAGGTAATAGTAGTAGCAATCCTCAACCGGAATGGACCGAGTAGCAAATCGAAGTCTTGCATGCCCGAAGTTATTGGAAGCTCGTACGGGGATTCTATAAATGATGCTATATAATGTATTTTGGTGATGTATAATTAAAGACAATTTCGTTTTCGTTTATTTTGATTACCGAATTCCTCACTAGAGGAATGAAATTTAAAACGGTACGGATCCTGTTTTGAACCTTAATATATTGATCCTTTTACATTTATAGATGCCTAGTTTATTTTTATGTCTTTATTGATTTTTTATTTTTCGTCAAAATATTTCTGAACTCTGATTCTTATTTCGAACCTATAATAACAAATGTTTTATTCGAATAAACTCTTTCTTTAAAACGTATTAAAAAATACAAAATAAAATTGAAATCGACTAAAATTCTTCAAAGCGTGTTTTTAAAATTATATGTGTTCTAAATTTTCTAGTATGGTTTTGCTTTTAATTCTTCAAGTTTTAAATTTACAAAGAGATTCTTTACAAAATGTTTCCGCTAAATAAATAAAATTCCGATAAACCAGTCGATTTATTGCCTATTTAAGAGGGGGTACTAGAGTAAAATGGTGAACTCTAAAATATCCATCATTTTAATAAAATTGAAAGAAACTTTCCTATGATTCTCACTTTTATAGATAGTATAGATATAGATATAGATATAGATATAGATATAGTATAGAAGTACATGCATAGAAAAACTCTTGCAATATGGAAAAAAAATTGGTTAGAAATTGTTATCAATGAGTACAGTACACTAATACTTTCAGCAATGACTCTTTCTATGATCATATCAAATCCTGGCTAATCTACTCCAAAAATATTTCAAGTCTCCCAGTAACATTTTGTTTAATTTTGTGCTACTCATCGTTACAAATCGGGAAAGTAGATTTTGGGAGAATGATTTGTCAAAAATTGGAAAATTGGTTCCTTCACTTTTATACCTTAAACCTCCTTGATCTACTCAATCCTCCTAGATTATCTTATATAAGGTCTCTGGCAATTTTTTTATTCTCCTGGTGTTAGTGATCACCCCTAAAATCATGCTACTTATCCTTTCTGTCAGATTCAGTTTTTACACCCATACGGGCATTAGATCAGTACCCAAACATCGGTACGAAAGTTAAGCAGAACCATATGAACACAATTACTTGTAACATATGAGAATTCACAACTATTAAACATCAATTTCTTGAGTCAGTCAACAGATCCACAGGCAAAAAGGGTTCATAGATTGATATTATTGAGGCCTGTATATTACATTATACATAGAGTTATATGTTTATTTTGAATAAAAATAACAAATAACTGAGCCTATGACTGAAAACTTAGCTCACAGCTACGGACACTGGGAACTTGAATGAATGGGCGATATCGTGACGCTGGAAGGTATTTTATGTGCTTTTTTTTTTTTTTTTCTCCTGCTATCTAAAGATGGACAGATTATGTAGAATACAAATCTCCTCCGGTTTTAAATTTTTCGAATGATAAAATCTTGCTGGAAGGGATAATGAATCATTTAGATCCATGATTGTTTTACAGAATAGCTGCTAGCAATCCTCGAGGCGATGCTCCGTCCTGTATTTTAAGCATCAAATGAGGCACACAATCGAAGAATTCGAAGGTATATATATATATAACTATATGCAACAATAAACTAAAATCACCATCAAATTATTCAAAAATCGGAATTGCTACTTCCTTCCGTTTAAAAGCATCTTCATGAGAAAGAATGTGGTTGCAAATGCTAAAAATAGCAATTACCCTTGGTTTTGTGAAGTAATTGAATCTAGTTTTTGGAAGATTTTCTGATTAAACATTTTATCTATGTTCGGCAATTATATAATGGCTAAAAACATATATATGTAAGATAAAAAGAAAGTGGGTGTACCTATTTAAGGTCATGAAGCTTGAACGGAATTGACGAGGTCTTCACTAATCTCACCAAAAATATTAGGAGATCCGTCCCACTTTCCGTGTTCTCGAGCTTCCCAATAACCGCCAATGTAATGGAATGGTCCTTCTTCACCCTCTCTTTCGAACCATCTTGGTCTCCAGCCATGTTCTTGCATTTTCCGAGACTAAAGTAATTTACCAACAAAAGGTTACCTCTTTATTAATCAGTCAAAAGATTTTTTTTCACAGAGATTAATTTCACAACGTACCATTCTCTGACGTGTTTCGAGTCGAAGCTTCTCGACATTTGCCTTGTCAAATTCACCATTCTCAAGATGACGTTGGTCTGGTCTCAGTCTTGAATCTGTAGGTGGCAGCTTCTCCTTTCAATCCGTCATAAAAAAAATGCATGTAATCATCAGTTACAGCTTTAATTACGGGACAATTACCCACACATATATATATACACACACCGTCTCTATATATACCTCGAGTCCTGGTGTTAATTCGTTCAACGTAATAGCGAACGAAGTTAAATTATAGCGAGTAAGGTCGGGAGGTGGTTTATTCCTTTTCCACAATAAAGATGATGAATCGGACCTATCTTTTGCATTGCTACTTCCATCTCCATTTACAAAATACATGCTATCATCCCACTTTCCAAATAATTGAGCTACTTTTTTCCCCGTCGAATCTTCAACAAATCCATTAACCTGTTCATTTTTTAGGGTTTTTTTTTTTAAATAAAAAATATCTAGTAAAAAATAAAAGAATATAGCAACAGTATGTATGGAGTTGAATACCTGATGAGGGTTGCGATCGAGAATAGACTGCTCCTTGAACTTGAGTTTGCAAGAGTATTGGCGGTTACCTTGTATGTGCATTGTACCGTGGTGGTCGCAATATATATTACCAAGTATTAGATTATATATGCTCGTCGTGACCTGTAAGAAGAGAAACACAACGAATAAGAACAATTAAGGTGACCATTACCAAAGTGGTTTAATGAATTAGGGTTCTTACCTTGCTCCACTGGAAGATCTCCCCGTCATCGAACTCTAAATTAAGAGTTCCGACTGGATCTATTTGAATTGATCTCCCCCAAAATTTTGATTTAAGGTTAGTGTCACACCAGAATTTCCACCCTTTTCCTTCACAGTGACAAGCAATCAGTGTAGGATGGTGACTGACCTATTTTTCAAGAATCGAACCACTCAGAATCTAATTTTTCCAAAGAATAAAGACGGGAGTGCAAGAAATAAGCACAAATAATTTGAAATTTCACGACTAGCTCATCTCATCACAATTTAGGTTCAACTTCAGTTTTGAAAACATCTATAAAGAGAAACATGCTATACGAATTATGAAAGCCACTTGGTACGAGTATTTACGAAGCTCGGAACTAGGGCATGGTAAATACTTGAAAGGGGAATTAATCTACGAACTATTTTGGATGAAATGAACAAAAACTTAGATTTGTACGTTTTCTAAGAAAATATTCATTATTCTGCAATTAACCGTTTTCTGGAAAGAAAATACGTTGAACGCAGTTTGAGGTCAAGCTCGAGCAACTTAAGCTATGTACGCACTCAAGATTTTCACTTTCTCGTCTTTCAGTATTCGGAATTAGATGATATAACTTGCACTTGAGTCTAGAGTGATTATGCCAAGCAACAATAGAAGAATAAGTTAGAGATGGTTGTGGATTTGGATCAAGTAGTTAAAATCCCAATTAAAAATCCCAGGATTTTACAATTTTACTATCTTATTATATACCTTGTAAAATCCAGGTAGAATGCTAATCCAAGTATAATCAATCAAAAATTGGGAGTAAAATCCTTCACGTCGTAAAAATCTACGATTTTGACATTAGGGACTCTATTTATTAAAAATTTACAAGGTATTAAAAACCGTACGGTTTTACGATCCGATTTTGCGTTTATGCAGTCCCCTTCCAATTTAAACTAAAGTCTCGACTTTGACAACCATAATTTAGAGTGACAGCAGCAGAGGTGGCAATTTAGCATATAGACCAAATCATATCCACAAGAACTTCCTTAACGTAAGATGATGCAAGTGTCAGCTCAATATGTTAAATCGACAGCATTTCAAAGGGGAATTTTAGTCATTTTAAATTGAAATTTTACCCAATTATTTTGTTTTTTCGACTCCTTGCGTGGATAAAATAAGTACTGTAATAATATATGAAATCAAGTGAAATATATATTGTTCATGTAAGCAAAGCACCTTTTCGGAGAAGAATCGAATTCCTTTCTCGGGATAATCAGCTTCGTAAGTTTCACCGAGCAAAGGATTGAAGGGTTTACAGAGGCGGCCTTCGGATGAAGCGTATCCAGACACAGCAAAAGCAGCAACATTCAAAATCCTCATTAGACTGTTCCCCTGCAACAAAAATAACACAATCGTACGAATTTCTGAAGACTTTACTAGTAAAGTAGCAAATGATAAGATACTAAACTAAATGGATCGTACCGCTTTCCCATGCTCGTAGGCCTGATCCAATAGATGAGAATACTCCAAGTCTTCGAAACATTTTTGCAAAGATGAAATCGGCTCGTTGAAAAACACGGGCAAGCAAACTCGTGTCAGATCCTTTCCGATGTTGTCCTTTATCATGGACCATAAACTCACACCTTTCTCCTTCTCAACTGGATCTGGTAACTTCTTTCTTCTTTCAACATACGGGTATCTACACTCGAATATCTTTTCTTTTCCATCTGTATTATTATTATTATCATTATCATTATCATTATTATTATTTATATTATCATCCATGTGATTTTGTCGTACTACTGATCCAGAAGAAGCGATTGTTGGTTCGGAAAAGTATTCATTTGTGTCAAAGTAGTGTATTTCCTCTTCATCCGATGCTTCCTCCAGCTCTTGCTTTTCCACATCGTCTGATGATTCAGTCGTGCTCCATTCTGTAACCATATGGCGACGACATGTCAATTATAAAAATTCAAACACTATATATTTAGATGTTCTTCCGAAAATCAAAAGAAATTCAATTGCGTAAGAAATTAAACATTTAGGATACTAGTGTGTGTATTACACTTCAATCAACTCGTGTATCGAGCAACAGTGCGAAGGGCATAACAGATACATGTATGCAATATATGAATAGGCAAATGGAAACACTCAATTGAAGTAAACTTGATTGCATGCACATATTGACTATCAGTGACTTTCTATTTAGCGGCGGCGGGTCGCAACCTTTTCTTCATTATACGACAGCTGCAGGTACGATTTGATATAAACATAAATACATCAAGCGGACAACATATTTTACCGCACTATGTTTTGACTCCTTACCTAAGTTATTTCACTAACTAAAAATGTGATTGCACGTATAAAAGATTTAATCAAGAATCAGGAGTGTGTCTTCAAGTGTTCGTTAGTATTTATGAATCTTAGAAACAAGAAAACAACAACATAGTAACCGCAGCCCGCAAGCATCCCATAATTGCTAAATTGAACAAAAAACTCGAGGCATGTTCGTGAAAGTTAAATGTGGATAAATATATATATGTACGTATGTATGTATATGCACAAAGTTACAGAAATAAAGAGTATTTGGTACCACTGTATTTTCTGCGGCCAATATTTGTGTACTCGTGCTTCATCAAATTATATCCAGCATCATTAATTCCGGAGGTTTCAGCTTCAATATTCGCTGCCTGGAAAAAGAAACATCAAAAAGGCTCATATTGCGATTCTTTCTGATGATTTTTCTTTTTAAATTATATGAACTAAAGATTACACTCTTGAGTACATAAGCGCAACATGGAAATAATTCAGCCAAATATAAACGTAATAGCGAAAGATATATTATCATCATAAGAAACGTGGTTCACCAAGAATCGAAATAAAAGTCTTGTACTGAATTGGGAGAAATTTTGGCACCACCTACTTATCAGCAACCATGTTGAGTTGATAACCGTGCCATAGAAAGGATAATTGTCAAAACGTTACTTGATATATACATAGACCAAATATAATAATCTGCCCTTCCATGAATGAATAAAACTCATAAAGATATAAAATGGTAAAGTGCAACAGCATTAATGTCAAACACACGACGCTCTATTAATCGAAAACTTGCTTTTAGTGAGATCTTGAGTTGGCTAGTCATTTAGAAAATGTTGCAGCCAGAATTCGATAAAACTATAATTCATAATTCAACAATTTATACACATTCTCAGAATTCGTTGTACCCCACATCAAGTAAAACTTTGTGACGCCTCTCTAACAAGAGATCTTTAAATAATATTCCTACGGAAAAGTGATGCGACTTCAATTTAACAAGTATACACAAGAGCAAGTTTACAGCACTATAGTATAACAAAGCCGTTAAGCTTATGTGGATGAATTAAGTTTACAATGAATTTCAAATCCAATTTATATAGAAACGTTTAAGATCCTTTCTCTAAAATATTTCCTCAAATCGAAACACTTCCATCCAATTCAAACATAAGGAAAGTGAAATTTGGACTTATTGTGATTCTTTTTTTTCTTTGACCAACCATATGGGTGTCAACCATATTGGTGCACTGGGTAAACGTTCACTCGTATAATAGCTTGCAATCCATACGACAGACGTAAATCACACTAGGCTAACCATGTGTGACAAGCTCGACCTAGCAACTGAGCAACTGTTAGCAATGGGATTCGATCGACCTAAGTCAATTGATACAGGCTCACTTGCTCCAATCGCTCCGTCGGACATTATGATTGTTAAATAGTGTCATGATGGTTGCCTAAACCGCAAAGCAAGCAAGATGTATATGACAAGTGGCTAAACAAAAAAAACAAAAAAAACAAAAAAAAAAAAAAAAAAAGAGTTAGTGTTACCTCTAATTGTCTGAGAGTATCCAACAAATTGGAGCGGTCTTGGCAGAGAAGATGAAATTGGCCTTGAACACCAGAAAATTCAGAGAGCATAATCTGCTCACAGTCACTAACAAGAGAGTCAGAAATTCCTTCATCAAGCAACCGCTGCTTCAGCCTTTGAGTAGAAACAGAAAGCTCCCTAGTTAGAATAGGAATAGGTGTGTTATTGTGGATTCTAGTTGATACCAAAGCCTCTATCCAAGCCACTCTTTCTTTCCTCGAATTTGTCCTCAAATGAAGTGTCTTTGTCGCTGTAAATATGTAGAATCTCCTCTCATCTGACTTGCTCTCCCGGAACGATGAGATCTGTATTCATAATATTCTTCAACACAATAAACAACAACTAGTAACTTCTTCACTACCAACTATTCCTTATGGGTCGGATTGGGTCGACCCGTCAAATTAAATATTTACTTTGTTTTCCGGACACATCAAGAGTGTTACCACCGACTATGTTATTATAGAAATTGTCATTTCTTTTTAAACTTATACTGTTATACAGTAACAAAATTAGTCAAAAAAAAAATGAACCCCCAGAAGATTTTGATGTGACCAGACATCAATTAAAAAAAAAAGGAAATTAAAATAGCTAGACTACAGTTACACCACTTTTGCCCTATAATTTGGTTTTTGGCTTCTCTCATAAACACTCACCTGCTGATGTGACCCACTTTAGATTCACACCCAGTTAAATGTTTTCAAAATTCATTTTAAAGGGAAATCTTTATTAATTTACAGCCAGCAAAGAAAGAAAGGAAAAAAAAAAAGGTGTATCATGGCTCAGATATCAAAGCTATATTTGGTGGCTATTCGTGCAATTGGAATTGTTTCTGCTGTCAATTGTCATGAACAAAATATGGTAACGAGACTTGGTAAAAAAAAAATTGGGATTCAATTTTTTGCCTATAGTGGCAAAAAATACTTTATATGTGTACAAGTGTTGAGACTATTAGTACACACTGCACACCATAAAAGACAATCCTTCACTTTCACTCTCCCCACATATACATCTCTCCTCCTAAACATCCATTCTCTTCTTTCTACACCTCAAATTTAAAATTTATTTATATATTTTTTTTATTATTATTTATCGGTTACCGACCTTTAAATGGACAATGCCGACAGTTTTGGTGTGTTTCCTGCCGCTGCTGCGGCGGTTGGCTGAGGTTGACCCGATCAGGACCACGTCGCTCCCCGGCGGTGGCTGGGCGTCGGGGGGACGGCGGCTCTTCGAGTACGAGAGGACGCCGTTGCTTCTCAATGTGAACCACCGAGATCGCCAACCCTTGCCGAAGTTAGTCCACTTGTAAAGGATCCCGGCCACGCTGCTGCTGCTGCTACTACCACCACCGCTGGTGCTGACGTCAGATCCTCCCGCATTGACTTCAGATCCACCGCCGGAGAAATTCACCGCCGACCCAGTTCTCAATAGCGTCGGCTCCGGCGACCCATCTCCGATCCCGGAACTCTCGAGCGTTATGCAGCAAAGCGGGTGCATCTCCCTCACCCGCATCGATGCGCCTTTTCTTCCACTACTTTCAATCAATCAATCAATCGCTACGCCTCTCGCATCACAGAATAACCAAATTTTTAATCCCCATTAATCAACAATTAACTACAGCACAGAGACTATCAGAAAACGACGCATCGAACCAAACTTTTCGGCTTTATTTCTTTTATTTTATTATTATATATACATACATGTAGAGAGAATCAAGAAATGAAGAGAGAGAGAGAGAGAGCTCTGAAACTGAGGGATTCCTATAGAGAAAAAGACACAAGAGTGGGAGAGAGAGAGAGACTAATTTGGTTCAAAAAATAAATTAAAAAAAGCAACTCATTTTTGGGTTGTTGAATTTCTAAACAAAGTTTAAGAGAGGGTGTGATTATATATAATGAGTGCGTGAAATGTGTATATATGTATGTGTAAATAAGATGTGTGTGACTGTGTGTAGATTGTTGAAATCTAGTGTGTTAACTGTGTGTGTGAGTTTATGGTTGGTGGTTAAAAGGGTCATTATGCATAGCTGGGAATGTGCTGTTTGAAATGGTTATGGTGTACTACTACTATCTAATAATATCTATTATCTAATATCTATTACTTTGAAGCTAAGTCAATGGGAAATAAATGTTGACTAACCTCACCCTTTTTAATTGGCCTTCTTGTATTTATGTTTTACTTATTGTTGTTTTAATTTGTTGATCAATATTTTAGTAGTACTAGTTTTAGCTTCTTCAAATTTCCACGCAATAATTATGATAAATCATATGTTACTTTAAGATTGATTTATGCAATCATATTTCAATGCTCATCACTCGTTAGGAAGTAAAATATTATGTAATTGTACTAGCAAAAATATAAACAACACAAAAATAATTGTTAAATATTTCAACTATTATGCTTGATATATGTAACAATGGCATTCAACCATGGTTAAGAGCATCTCCAACTAATTGTACTATTATATCCCACCAAATCCTACTTTTTGTGGTGAGAAAATGGGTTTCTCTCTCACCAGTAGCACATTATTTTACCTTTCTACTATTTTTTTTTTGGAAAAATAATGTTTTTGGTCTCTCATGGATTTCTCCAAAATTTAGACCAAATATTAAAATAATAATATTTCACCATTTCACCACTTATAGAAAATGGTTGTTTTGGTCTTCCATGACATTTCACCATATATGCCCCAGAACTGTAAATCTAATGTTGTCCTAATTTTAGTATATTTTATTTCCTACATATTACTTATAGATCCATTTTTAAGTATTAATATTTTTTTAACCATATAATTTAAAAATTATGTTATCAATAAAAAAAACTATCTAAACACGAAATAACATGAACTCAAGTTATTCTACAAATAATAAAATCATACATAACAATAAACTTATAAATTATATTACAACAAAAATTAATTTAAAATCATAAAAAAATATCTCATTCACCATTATTATTATTCTCATCATCACCATCATAATCTTCAACATCATCGACGTTAACATCATTGAATTACAACTACGACAATAGAGACTATTAAGTAGTTCATGAAATTTGCCTGCATGGGTATAGCTCAACTGGTTCCGAATGTGGTAAGTTGGTACAAGATCCTATGATCGAATCCTGTCAGCCCCAATGTGGGAGTTTCAACTCCAATAATAATTGGTTTATTGTGGATTATTATTTTTATTGTTATTTTATTATTATTATTATTATTATTATTATTATTATTATTATTATTATTATTATTATTATTATTATTATTATTATTATTATTATTATTATTATTATTATTATTATTATTATTATTATTATTATTATTATTATTATTATTATTATTATTATTATTATTAT